CCAGAAAGGATATGCCTATCCTGCTGGCTTTGGAATGAGACCTATTGCAGGTGAATAAAACATAATTTGCTTGTTGATTTCTCTCTTTCAGAAACTTTTTACACTATTGAGCCCCTCATACCATCAGCCAGGGAGGGTACTATGGGTCCGGTGTCTGTTACTGTGTATAAATCTGGTAATATTTTTGCTGCTAGTTCGGTTCAAATCACAACAGTTATGTCTTGTGAGTTTACATATTCTTGTATTGTATTAACTTTTTCTTTTTTCTCCTTTCTGCAGCTAGTGCCAATGCAGCAACAAGTAAGATAATAATTAATTTTAATTTACTTTCTATTCTAACTATTCCATCTTTCTCTTATACTTCAGTTGGTACTGATTTGCAGACACAGTCTTCCACTGTTAATTTTGCTGCTGGTCAAACTTCAGCTGTTACAAATTTCAGTTTCATTAATGATGCCAATCCAGAACCATTTGAAACATTTTTGGTTGGTTTTGTTCCAGGCCAAAACATTAATATTGGAACGCCATCACAAGCTGAGCTGGGAATAATTGATGATGACTGTAAGTGAACTATAAAGCAATGCTTTTGGTATAACTATTATGGCTATCATTTTTCTTAATAGCTGTCACTATAATGTTTGGTCCTGTAACTTACACTGTCACTGAGGGTGACAGTAATGTAATGCTTAATATCACATTTGTGACATCTCAACCTCTTCTTGAAGCATCCACTATTAGAATAACCAGTATACCAACTCCTGGAGCAACTAATCAAGCTACTGGTTAGTATTTGAATTTAATTTATTTGAACTGCATGAATTATTTACTCTCTTTCATATAGCTGGAGTGGATTATGTGGCTTTTAATCAAACCATCACTCTACCTGCTGGCTCTACAGGACATTATTACACTGTCACCATCCTTTCTAATTCAGAGGCTGAACCAGCCGAACAATTCAGTGCATCTTTAGAATTTGTTAGTGGAACTCCATTGACAGTTACTGGACCTGATGCTACTGTAACTATTAATGATGATGATGGTTAGTGATCTTTTATTATTGTTTCATTTAGAGCCTATAAGCAAGCAAAGCATCAGTTATATATAATTTTGGGATCAAGGGAAAGTTTTAAAATGCTATATTTTATCATCATTGTTTAGGATCGCAAACAGGAGGCAAAATCCTACCATTATCATAGACATCATTTTCATGATAAATTATGTTTGTCAATATCTCTTTTATTTAGCCGAGTCACTAACTGTATCAAGTATTGAATCCACTACTTCATTGAATGTAATACCATCAACCAGTAATGCCAAGAATATATCTACTACAACATCAATTGGGCATAGTTTATCAAGAATAATACCATCATACAGTATTACAACATCTTTGATGACCGGTTTGCTATGTGTCTACAATATAATATATTCTTTTAATTACAGTAAGTGAATGATAACCAGATTAGAAATAATTACCGTACAAGATGATTTAT